CTATCTACACACATGCGCCATGAACTGTCTTTCTTTGGAATAACTAAAGCAGGTATGGCGGTGGGACTGAGACTCTCACGAACATGTCCTTTAGCTAGGAGCTCTTCCACCTGACGACGTAATTTATCGTGCTTTTGCGGAATCATATGGTAATGTGGTCTTTTGGGAAGCAAGGCATTAGGGACAAAATCGATCTGGTGTTGGATATCGCGAAGCGGTGGTAAGGTGTTAGGTAGTGCAGAAGGAAAAACATCTTGAAACTCGGTAAGAAGCGGAGAGAATGCCGCAGGCGCATCAGAAACAAGTGATGTGTAGACCGGAGTATGAACCAAGGCCCAAACCTCACCTGAATCAGCCAGCTGAGCCTCAAATTCTGCTTTGGGAAGCGTCAAAAGTGGTTTCGCGGAAGGGGCAGCGCCTGTAGCTTCAGGTTTTTGCGTCAACCCTTTAGGTTCGAATGTTTCACTAGACGGAAACAATGTGACTTTCGGACCCTCAAACTGAAAGCTATAAGTGTTGTTGCGGCCTTTGTGAGTTGTATCTTTATCATATTGCCAAGGGCGACTTAATAAGAGGTGGCAGGCATCCATTGGAACGACATCGCAACAAACTGAATCTTTGTAAGAGCCAATAGAGAATGCGATGAGGGCCTGCTTCGATACACTAATCTCGATACCATTGTTTAACCACGCTAGTTTGTAAGGGTGTGGATGAGCATCAGCCTTGATACCGAGCTTCCGAACTGCTTCCTGAGATATGACGTTTGCACAGCTTCCAGAATCAACGATGAGCTTGCAAACTTTGCCATTAATGGTGCAAGATGAACGGAACAGGTTTGTGCGCAGCCAAGACTCTTGTGGAGCTCTAGGAAGAAGACAGTTGCTGCGGAGAACCAAATTTGGACCAACATCACCTGGAATGAAATCGTCATCGTTACCATGGTCAGAAGCATAATCATCAAAACGAGGTTCATCATCAAAATCGGGTTTCTGCACGACAAGTCCACGACGATCCTGCTTAGGACAAGCCGTTTGACGATGTCCTGATTCACCACAAGCAAAACAACGGAGAGCGTTTGTTCGTGGTGGACGTGATGTCGCAATGGAGTCCTGCACAGGAGCTGGTCGGAGCTAATTCCCACTTCCAGAGTGTTGTTCTGTAGCTGCAACAGTACTGGAATCATTCTGGTGTTGAGGAGGAATGCGAGAACGCGACCCCGTAGAAGCCCAAGAGGAACGAAACTGTATTTCCATAGCTATAGCGCGCTGATGAGCTTCAGACACAGTAGCAGGGTTGAACTGTTGTAACGCGTTCTGCAACTGTGCTCGCAGTCCACCAATGAAACGAGAGACTAATTGTTCCTCTGTTTCCATCAATGTGATACGAGATACCATGGAAAAGAAGTCTGTAGCGTAGTCGTCCACTGATCGGTTTGCTTGTCGCAGATTTTGCAATTTATTGTAGAGAGTGCGCTCATAATTATACGGAAGAAAAGCTTGTCGCATGTGTTTCTTGAGTTGTTCCCAAGAATCAATTCACGATTTTCCGGAGTGACGACGTGATTCCTTTAGCTGTTGCCACCATGCCATCGCTCGCTGTTTAAAACGAGTGGCTACCAAGGGGACACGCATCTCATCAGGAACGTTTTTGAACTCCAAAATCTCTTCAACAGAGCTTAGCCAATCGAGGAAATCTTCTGGGTTAAGGGAACCCGCAAACTCAGGAATATCGAGTTTAAAACCCGATTCCCAGCGTGCAGGTGGATTTGCACGATCAGCATCACGACGGACGAGGTTGCGCTGATGGTTGTGGGGTTCGTGGCGGTTATCTCCTTCTTCACGGCGGTAGTTGTCATGAACAAGGACTGCAAACAAATTTTCTGCAAGCCCATCATCGTCATCTTCCTGTACTCTGTTTTGCTGTTGCGGATTTTGGGCACCATGACGCTGACCCTGCTGATTCTGCAGTACCCGTGTCATAGCTTCCTCCACTGCGTGCAACAAAGCATCGTGCAAACCGGCCGTGAACGCCTCCAAGGTGCGTTGGAGTTCATCATGCTGTTCTTCGAGGGTAGGTTTTCTGGGTGCCATAGCAAAAGAGAAACTGTGGATCGTGCTTTAATTGAGAAACTAAAGAACCTGGCTCTGATACCAACTGATAGGGTAACCGATATGAAGACGGATTCGATTGTTTAGTCTAAGAATTCCCAAACGAAACACGCGTCTTGAATTCGTTGAGAACTTCTGTTCTAGCCGAAAGCAAGAGAAGAGAGCAAAAGCTTCTTTGATAATTAATAATAATGAGATGTATTCTCACAAGCTGAGACATCAACCCTTTAAATAGAAGTCGTTAAACGTAAAGCAAACTGGAAAAGGAAAACTGCATAATTAGAGAAAAGGAAATCCTAAAAGTAAAGGAAATCAACTTAAAACCAAATCCTAAACGAAAGATGAATGTGTGCTGCATCACTTTTATTTACATGTTAATGTGCAGAAAGTAGTATTCCAGTTGGGAGTTCATGACGAAAGAATGCTATGAAAGTTGTCTGTGAATTTTCAGGTACACCAACACAAATCAATCGTCATACTAAAGGAAATTTTTTTTAGGCTATAACAAACATTAAAAGAAGAAGGGAAACTGAAGCAATGTTTTTATTTTTTGCTAGGAGTTACTTCACTGGACGTGAAAGAAGAAGGGAAACTGAAGGTGACAAGAGCATTCAACAATTTTGAAATGACAAAAAAACTGAGGAAAGTATGTAAACATGTTGAAATCATCGCGGTCGGGCCTAATACAGAACCGAAGCAAAATCGCCATCCAGTTAAATGGAATGTATGCCTATTCTTCAGCTTCGTTGTCCGCCTTTACATCAGCATCGTCTGCCAATATGTCAGCCTCATCCACCAATACCTGTCCTTCCCCGAGCACCGAGAGTTAGAGGCGAGAACTCGGATCTTTGTATCATCATGTGAATTATATAAAAAAATTCAGAAGGAAATATAACGATAAATTTGGCTTATTTTATTATTAGCTCTCCCAATATATAATACAAGTCTCCATGATCTCATAATAACACATTTAATCTTCGCAAATCTTATTTGGCTGATTGATTCTCTATTTTAGAAAAGTATGATTTCTATATAATAACAAACATTCACTCTAGTTGTTCAAAAAAAAAAAAAAACAAACATCCACTCTCCAGCCACTTGGAAGGCAAGGCAATTAGACAAACATAATTAGTCCAAGTTGAAAATGTAGTAGTCGTGGTTATTATTAATGAAAGTGACACTGAGATTATGAGATGGTAACATTTCTCTTCTAGAATATACACCACAAACTGATTTATCAAGGTCTCATATTCCTTTTTTTCTTTGTCTAAAAGGTCTCATATTACTTTCAACGAGTTCATCTTATAAGATTAATAGAAAGCACAACCTGAAAAAGGGTGAAAATCCCATAACAATAGGCGATAGAAAATGTTTCATTTAAACATTTTAATGGACGATTATAAGTAATCATATATATGATTTTAGGTGAACTCTCTCCATCCTGCTGCCACATCAGCATCTAAATGGAAGACACATGTCTTTTTATCTAATTAATAAATCATAAATTTTAAATAAAAATTTAAAACTAATTAATACCACTACTTCTAACTTAACTATTCTATTTAATGTTTATTTCATATGTATTAATATTTATAGCTATTAAGTTACATTAATATTAAGCTTTTCACATTCCTAACAAAATAAATAAACAACATTTCTAACTTTTTACATTTCTAACTTTTTGGTATTCATCTAAAATTTTTTAACATTTTTCTATACTAACTCGATATTTTTCTTCCAGCTTATCATCATCATAAACACTTTTTTCAGAGCTTGTTATATGAAAAAATATAAAAATGTAGCGTTATCTTCATTCAAAGATTTGACGATTTTTACGGGTCAAATATAATATTATTATAGCTGCATTTTAATGTGAAAAATAAATTATGGGGTGGTTCTTGCAGAATCAAGGCAATTGTACACGTCATAAATTTGAAAACATTAAAAATCAGAAGTAATTATATGTTTTCAAGCAATTTAAACAGAAAAATATGACTTTTATCTATGTCTTTTTTACTCATATCATATTTATGATTTCTAGAATAGTAGAATAATTTTCCTAATTACCATACTTCCAATTCTTAAAAAAATTATTTATTTTACAAAGAATTTATTTTTCAAAAACCTAATACTAAACAATCAAACAAATTACCATATTCTTATAATTAATTATATATATATATATATCAACACAGACATATTTTAAAAATATTATGTGAAACAAAACCTGTGCGTATGCGCGGTTACAAGTCTACTAGTTAGTTATAAAAATGAACTATTAATTTTTTTCAAATAATTTTCTGAAAACTGCCTTTAGGTACCTTACTACCTTAGTAACCGTAAAAATATTTCTTAAAAATGAAATATTAGTTTTCAACCCTTTTGCGAAATGGTTTATTTTAAGAAAAAAACAAAATGATATTTTACTATTTTAGACTATTTAGTTTCACAAAATTTCTCAAGAAGACTTGAATATCCTGCCATCACCGGGTCAAGTAACGAAATATCCTCGAAGCTTCATCCGACATGTGGATCCCCCAAATGAATTTTCTTTTATTTGTTTATTTGTTAAAGAAGACTCTTGATCTGGACTTTTCCTCAATCTTAATTATCTAATTCGCTAGTTTTTCAAAATTCTTTTTATTTTCTTACAGTCGACTGTATTACTACGTGGGCGATCCAGAAAGGAATTGAAAAAACGATATAGTATATAATTATGAACCGATTTAACCAATCCGTCGAAACATATTAATTTTACTACTAGCTAAAGACAAAGTATTGAATATATATTTAGTAATTAGTATAAGAGAAAAGTCTACGTGAATGAAACCGCGAGAAAAAAGACTAATTATAACTAGATGATTAAAAGAAAAAAGTTAACAAAGCGTATTAAGATCATACAGAAATTGGATATATTTCCAAATAAACTCATTCGAGAATTGTATGTATTACAGTACCACCCCAAAAATAAAATGCACTCTTCTATTAAAATTAAGTGTTACATAACTAAATATTATCTGAAATAAATCAAGAAAATCACATAATCACACAAGTATTTGGCTCCTCCACCACAACTCTAGAATTAAAGTTTGGTTGATAGTAAGAACTTGGGTTGGAATAATAGTGTTGGTACGGGTTGATCATCGGAACCGCCGGATAGGCAACAATCTCAGCCGGTTTAGGTGGAGCCGGTTTCGCTGGTTCTGGCTTCTTCTCAGGTGGTTTAACAACTTCTACCGAAACAATCTCTGTATTACATATCTTCCTTAGCTTCGTCACGATAACCGGTACATCAACTTCTCCAACTACTGTCATTTTCCCGGTTTTGTCATCCATTGCTATCGAAGTAACCCCTAAAATATTTGACAAAATCATAAAAGAAAATGTTAATTTGCCTAACTTATTAAAAGTAATGATCATGTAGTAGTATTTTTTTTTTGAAATTTATAAAGATACCTGAAAACCGAGAAACGGTCTTCCACGCTTTCCTCCTGATTCTTTCCTCGTGAACACTCAATTGCAACACAGATTTCTGTCATTTGAAACCCAAGATCAGTACTTGCTAATTGCATATCTTATAAAGGAAAAGATTTAAAACATAATTATGACTGATAAGTTTCTATATATAGCGACTAATCAACCAGCAGTAAATAAAATATAATTATTTCAAGATAGAAAATATGAAAGAAAGAACGTACCTGTGCAGTCATGGCTGAAGAAAACTATAGAAAGCTTGAGAAATTTCTGATATATATTTTAAAGAGGGAGAATGAGAGGAGATATGATTTGTGATGCTGAAGCTTCTTGATGACAATTGCAAGTCCTTAGATTCTCTATTATATAGAAATTCCATAGGAACTTACGAGGAATTTAATATATGATGACCCACAAAAGCTTTTCTATTTTTTTAAATAATAAAAGATTTGCTAACGACCAAAAAAAGGAGTAAGTGGGTCAATTTCTATTAATTCTTTATTATTTCAGGATTTGTTTGAAATTTAAAATTCAATGGTACGATACGAGCAACGACGAAACCAAGAAGTGTCACTACTCATGGGCCGCGTGTACGACCCGGACAACGTTGACCCGTTGACCTATTCGGTCACGTAAGAACTTGTCAAGCAAGTTCTCTAGCCAGATTATGCTCTTGTAAAACTTGTATATCTCTAGATCTATATATCTCATCAAAACGAAAACTGAAATCGAAATCAAAAACTGAGATTGAAGTCACAACGGTTCTTTTTTTTAAAAAAAAATTTTTTAAGATGTTGGATTTTAATTTCCCCCCCCCCCCCCGGTTAAAGAGGTGTTTTTTTGTCCTTCGATTGCTTTTTTAATCATAAGAAAACATATGTAAGTACCCGAAACCGTAGGTAAGCTCGTCGATAGCAATCCTAATATGTTAGACTATTTAACTAAGTGTGTCAAATCTTTGGTTCCGACCTAGTCATTACTACATAAATTGATGTGTTTACTTGGCTGTGTTGAAATCGATTTCTTGTCATTCAATTGAGGAAACTCCCTTGCTTGTAATAGTTTGCTAGTCTTGCTTGGAATCAAGACTCTCACAGAATGTAGACTCAAAAAATTAAGCATATAGAAATGTTATAAAGTTGCCCTATGCATTTTAAAAAAGTCCCATGACATTTTTTCATAATTTAAGTAATGAACGATAGGGAAAATATTAAAGTAAATTGATTTTAGTCTCCTCCTCCACACAGAAAGTTCAGTACGTAATTATATTGCTGATTAATTTGATATAGTTATAAATATTTTTAGAAAATTAAAATCGGCCAATAACGCGGAAGTCCCCTTAGTAATGTATCTGATTAAATAATAATTTATGTCGCTTAGTTGAGATTTAAAACCATATTTGTAGTTTTATGTTTTTTTTTATTTGCATTTCAGTCTTTTTAAGTTATTTCAAAATTAATCTTCTTAACTTTTTTGCTTATCATTTTAACTCCTCAAATTTATATCTCATAAATACTTTATATATATCCTTATAAATTTTATTGTACATATAAATTAAATAAGCATCCTAAAATAAAAAGTTTCTTTATCACCTTAAAATGCTTTGACTGATCATATATAGAACATTACAGTAATAGTTTTATTAAGTAATTTGATATTTAATTTGTAATTTATAAGTTAGTTAGTGTGTTTTTATTATATATATATATTATACTAATGCTTTAGTAATAATTAATCTTGCTTGTGATATTTTTAAAAATTGTTTTATAATTACTTATAAAAATTTTATGATGGGACTACAGTGTGAAATATAATTTTTAGAGATGTCATATAAAGTTTACATTTGGAGAGCAGCACTCATAAACTTCAAATTTGAGATTTCTTATACCTTAAAAATAGATTATCTCTTCGTAATGCTCTAAGGTTGTATAAAATTGCCTCCTATGTATTTTTGTTAGGAATGCTTCTTCATTGTTCGAGTTTATTCAATGGTTCATTTGTACCTCCCTTCTGCTCCCATTGTGTCTCTCAGTTTTCTTCTAACTATGTCTAATTTTTGCTTTGATCCTTGATTTGGTAGTGGCACTTTGCGTCGTATTTATGTATTTTTTATATTTTATAATAAGTAATGTTTTAACTAGAAAAAAATGTTTCATTTAAATTAATATTTTTAATCTTTAATTCAAATCTAAAATATACTTTTTGATCATTTATATTTTGCTGTCTTTCTGATTATTGGTTGAATTTTTTAGTTAGAACGGAAACTTCACAGCTTTTTTTTTTGATAAAAAAGTTTTTAATTGAAAATATGCTTTCTAATACACAATTGTTCTCTTTCTAACATCGTTGTAAGAATTCTCTTAAAAATTTGGGGTATTATAGCACACATCAGTAGTGTTTTAATAGAGTTCTCAATTTTAAAATAATGAAATAAAAAAAAGTAAGTAAGAATTGATTCTCAAATGAGAACCATAAAAACTCTTTGTGTCACTTGTCTCTTTTCTAATAGTTTATTTTTTGTGTTTAAAAACTAAAATTTAATTATATAATTAGATTATATCAAAATATTAATATTTTATTGTTATACTCAAGCAAAGTTCTTAACCGAGGGAGAAGCTTATGACTCTTACAACAATAACATATCAAAACAAATGATTACTACGAAGCTAATGACTCTTACAATAGAATTAGCTAACCTGGTCCAAAATTGTTTTTCCTTTTTTCAAGAGATGACACAAGCATTGGGATTTTCATCGCCACATCCGTAGTAATGATAGTAAGGTGGAGGACATGGGGGTGGGATATACGGCCAAATCACTGGTGGTTTTGGTTCCGGTTTTGTCTCAGGCTTCTTCTCCGGTTCTTTAGCCGGTCCAACCGTAATAATCTCGGTATAACATATCTTCTTCAATTTCTTCACAATCATATAGGCATCAATTTCTCCTATCACCGTTAGTTTACCGTCCTTCACGTCTATCGATTCAACTCCTTATATAGAAATAAGATAAAATAATTATGACTCAACCAATTCTTTGAGAGAATTTTTGAGGCTTAAAGTAAAGATAAATTATAAATTAATCATTGTTAAGTATTCGTGTACCTGAGAGACAACAGACAGTCCTCATAGCTTTTTTCTTGGTTCTTTCACAATTAACATCCAATTTCAGTACAGCTTTCTGTCATGAAAATATTAAACATAATCAAGAGTCAATTAGGATAGCATAATGACGTTTCATGTAATGTTAATTTACATATATTACAAGCTTCCAACTGAGAAAAACATATTAAGAGAAGATAAATAATCGAACCTGCATTTTTTCTTCAAGTTGTCGTGTGTTGCTAATGAGTTTTGTTGAAGTTGTCTCCTTTTTATAAGCAGTAGCGACTCTTAACAGAAATTACAACTAATATCCAAAAAAAAAGATTAAATTTACTAAAAATTAAAGTTGTTTTTCTAAAAACTAAATCAGGCATTTTAGAATTATATGAAGCATTGTATTATTTCTTTTGGTGGAGATTCAAGCCCAACCAACAAGGCAAGGATTTGGACCAAGAAAGCGAGATTAGAATTGAATCAACTAATATGGACAAGTAGATAAGTATGCAGCGACTAATTAGCATTAAGTCTCCAAGTCTGAATTTTTGTGAACCCGAAGTTACGTTTTCGACTTCCTAATTTCCAGGCAAATACCAAGCCGTTTCATTTTCGTATAGTGTTGACTTTGAAGTAGACATTGTCGAATATTTTTGAAACATAGCTTAAATACGCTTTGTGAACCTTCTACTTCTAATCATCTAGAAATAGTTGGTCTCTTTTCTCGTGGTATCATTCACTGATTCACGTAGACTTTTATCTTATGCTAAATATATGTTCTTAATTTTTTTCTTTAACTATATTATTAAGTCAATATGTTGGGAAGGATTAGTTGAACCGTTTAATTTAGGTACAAATTCGATATATATATATATATATATATACACACACATAATTATGTCCTTTTTTCTATTTCTTTATGAACATCTAGATCGTCCACGTAAGATTAATACATTCGATTGTACAAACAAAATTAACTTTGAACAATTAGCGAAATAGATAATTGATAAGTGAGATTCAGAAAGAGTCAAGATCGAAAGACTTCTTTAACAAAACAAAACAAAAAAAAAAAATGCAATTTTCTTAACGAAATTTCTCAAGAAGATACACCGGTCAAGAAACGAAAGATCCTCGTAAGCCAATGAAGACTTTCGGATTGAGCGTTCCTATTTTGGACCCTTCCGGTTATGGCTATCAAAATAATGTTTACCATCCTCGTTACTCATTAATCATTATATTTCTTGTTCCTCTTCATATAAAAAATAAACACGTAAGTATTCGATTCTTGGTTACACAAAAAAAAAGCAAACAGAAACTACATACCAAAACAGAGGACTGAAGATTAATTTATGTACCCACAACAAGTTCCAAGAGGCAAAACACATTAACAACATTACTTCTCTTCTTTCCACATCTCTACCCAATTCTCCTTTGCCTCTTCGAGTCCAAAAACAGAGTTAGTCTTGGTCGGATCCAGGTTTGTGGACAAGCTCCCGTAAGCGATCCCAAGAGCCGACGCACCAAAGGTCACGAGCGTGGTCAAGAATGGAACCCACAATGGCACGTCCCAGACGTTTCTATCCTTCAAAACTTCAAGTAATTTCAAGATTGCCACTCCCAAGCCCAATGGTGTCCCCACAGATACCACAATCCTCCCCATCATCCTGTCGAACACTTCTTGAGGTATCGGCGGGTCATCTTCCGGGTCCGGGTCTGACCGGCCGGGTTTTTCAGAGCTTCTAGAAGATTGAAACCCCTTGGGTCCCGCTTGGAGCCTTGAATCCCATCTTGCTTTGGAGTTGTTGAGGTTTAGGGTTTTTGGATTTTGAAGTTTGGTTTTGAGAGTTGTTCTTGAGTGAGATGATAATGGTAGTGTGTGGTGTGAGCACAAGAGAGCTCTCATCATTTGTTTTTTCTTTTTTTTTTCTAATGTGTTTAGTTCCTTGTATATTTTATTATTGACCTTATATCTCCATGTATAAACTATGGTTTTGTTTGCCGACAAAAAAAAAGAAACTATGGTTTTGTTTTTATCTTTGAGATATTTATTTCTCGCCACACATTTCCTACTACTATTTATCGTTTCTTCACACTTCACAAAACATTGTTCTTCTTGATCATCTCCAAATTTAAACCATGTCCATCATTCTCTTCTTCCATTCCCTTTTAACCATCACCGCTTCAACGATGCAAAATTTCCATGGACACAATCAACACCATCAGTATCGTGCTTGAAAGCTTGGAAATAATGCCCACAATAAAATGAAAAAAATGCAAGAGGGTCACATTTTGTGTAAAGTTAAGCTTATATAAACATATATATATATATGTAGTTTAATATTATGTGCTGGGACTTTTTTTGTTTGAAAAGTACATCACATCTTAAAAAATTATGTTCATAAGAGATATTGAATGGTGTGATTATTATATTTATATAGAGATGGTTAAAACTAACTTGATTATGGGAGTTTGTTGAGGAATTTTTAAGCAAAAAAAAGGTTAAAATTTTGCTTTAACATTCATATACTATAAATTTTCATTATAAAAAAACGGTTTCATTATTGATGTATTGTATGTTTCAAGACGAAATTATATATTATTTTAAAAAATTTATATAAAAAAAGACACATATATATATATACAAGGGCCACATTTTAAAAAATATTTTTCTTAAGCTTATATGAATCCATGTACAACACTGACCACCATTCCCACCATTTTCTCTTTTCATCCTCCCAATTATGATCATATGTCAAGATTCCAAAGCAAAGGTTGTGAGAAATTCACTTTAGTTCAAAAGGCAATTGACTCAATTCCTATTTAAACCAATCTAAAGAGGTCATCTTGTTGATTTCAGTATATAAATGTTAGTTTAGCTAGTAACTCAATTGTTTTTTGTTTCCTTACAATTTTTAATTTTGTTAACAAAAAAAGTAATGAAATTGATGTTGTAAGTTGATGCAAGGGATGCGATAACACATCCATCGAGTAGAATAACACATCAGCATCTTACAGTTACACTTTTTTAGCTTATATGTTGCGATGTTTGGAGAAAATTTTCAAAGTATAGATTTCTATTTGTGTAGAATGGAACATAGTATTGAGACTTTTATTCCCTTATATGTTGGTTTGATTTGTGGATTTTTTGTGTTTGGAGTTTTTTTTTGTGATTGAGTAATTTTTTTAACATTTGTAGTTTAGAAAGTTCGTATGTTGTTTGTATACTAATTCAATTACACACAAAAAATTACATTTGATCTATTTTTGCACTTTTATAACCCTGAGTTGTGGTTTTATTTGGTTTGGGTTAATGTGGCGCCACATCTTGGTGTAGAGATGGACATGTGGTGGTTATCAAGGATATGATTGTGGTATCTCTAATATCACATAATTTTACCATTCATTTTACCTTAGTCACATTCATGTTTTGCATATTTTTGTGACATAATTTCACATAAGTGTCTCATTTAACTTAAAAAGACATTATAGAGTCTTAAGTTGCATTTTAAGTATTTGCTTAGTCATTTTGTTTTCGTTTTAGGTATCATGAAGTTTGTAGTGAAAAGTATAGCTTAATTTGTTGAGACAGTGTAATTCACCTTAATATTATGTTATCAACATCAGGAGCAAAATGATCAGTTTTTTAAGATAATAAAGCCACAGGTAAACAAACACGTTTCAATTCGGTTTAGTTAGATTTGGGTTGTATATCCAGTCCTATTTTCAATAAAACAATTAAAATAACAGAGCTAGAAACTTGATTTGAAGGAGGAAAAATTCATCCCTCTTAGCACTTTCTTTAACCTTTAAAGTTCTTGAAAAAACTATTAATCATGTTCACATAAGAGAAGATATAGCTTTGAATGTTTTTTTCGCCTTTCACTTTATGACGTAAGTCAATTGAATCTTGAAAGTGATCGAGAAGAAAAAGTCTCCAACACTTATTATTATTATTATTATTTGGTTCACTTGAATCCAATTTTTATCAGATTCATCATCCATTATTATGAACCATTTGATCTTGGTAGCTTCACATACGATTTCCTCAACACCTGCAAGGGACCAAAGCAAACAAAATGCAAAGGGGAAACATTAGCTTCCAGATCAAGAAAGATGTTGCAAAACAATTTCTTGAAGGCCAAGTTACGTACCCCACTAGGAGACAAATAGTAATAACGGTCGTTACTGTCCGGAGAGAGCACGGAGGGAGGTTGTGCCGGTGGCGAAGCGTAAAGTGTTGGCCGGAGAAATGGAGACTGACGGTAAGGTGAATTTATCGGTGACCGGAGCAGCGTAGAGATCATGATGCTCGGTGATAGTGGACTTGAACGATACAGCGAGATAGGAGATGCCAGCTCCGTAGCAGTTTCCGGCGATTGTGGCCTCGAATTTCCAGATATTGGCATGTTTATTGTTAATCTGTAGAGGGAAGAAAAAGATTCTGAGTACGGTGAAAAACTACTGTAAATTGCAATCTACTTTATGACTGATAAATAACGAATCATATACCTCTTATGAATTTCCACATAACGGTCTGTCTCATCGAATATTTCTTCCTTTAAGGTTCATAAAATGATTAGTTCAAAAATCATTCACAAATATAATATTTAGTAAACTAACATTTGATAATATAATACTATAGATTACCTGTATTAGTTCCTCCATAACATCTTCCAGAGTTATAATCCCAATGACCTCTTTATCTTCATCATCAATACTATCAATGTATTGGATTGGACTTTGGCGATATGTTTCACTCGAGTCCATCACAGGAATGCTCAAAACGTCTTTCTTAGCCGTTCCTGAAAAGAAAAAACAAAAGACATAAACTTTCTCGTCTCAACTTGATATGCCTTCTCATATATTCAAGTCTCTTAACCATTGATGCTCTTGTCATGGACAGGAGTATTGGTATTGGTATAGTTCTTGGTCCCAACGACAGCAGCCATGTGGCTTCGACCTGTTTGGAAGATGTTGAGGATGTCGTAGAGAGGCAAATTCAAATTGACCCTGCTTGCATAAACAATAAGCTTTTTAGATCAGTCCAGCTTCAAAAGCAGTTTAATGAGTTTGTTTACAGTCCATATATATGTATGTATGTATGTATGTACCTGGGCATTCTTCTGATGGGGAGATCTATGATTGGTGTCTCATCTTCAGGACGAACTTTGATCAAGTTCTTGACCTATTCAAAACTCATGTCAGAAGCCCAAAGTAGTGTTTCTCAGGATTACTGTGTAATAGATTTGTTGCTTACTAGAATATATCCGATGATAACAGTTGGATTTACGGAGTAAATAGGGATTCGACTATGGCCTTCACTTGCTATTAATCCCATTGTCTTTCTGTGAAGCAAAAAGAAGAGGAGATAACTAACTGAATATATATTTTGTCAAAAAGCAGAATGAAAATGGATTCCAAGAGAAGAACATACTCGTCGAGCCTAGAGTTTATATCGAGTGAAAATATCTCAGAGACTGGTGTCATTGCGTCTTTGGCACTCTTATGAGACATGTCCAGAGCTCCTGATATGATTGTTGTTTCATCGTGAGTCAGCTCCCCGCCTTTTCCTGCCTAATTATCAGAAAATGGACACAGAGAAAGAAGAAGAAAAAAAAGACATGGATTCAGCTTACATATTGACAAAACAATAAAAGCATCTCAAGCTTTTGAAACGAACCTCGTTTCCGTGCATATACACAAATGACTTGAGCTCTGCTCGCCTTAAAAGTGTAGAATGTCTTCTTCCAAGCAACAAATCGAGTAGCTGAAGCATTGAAATAAGAAAAATTTGCAAGTATTTTTACAACTTGAAACAGTTTTCTGCTTCATTATAATAACATCTGATTGTAATATTGAATTACCTTGCTGATTGGATAAGCTAGTGGAAAGAAGACTATGACAATAAATCTAACCAAAAGCGATAGCTTTGCTCCGATGCTCAGCCCGTATCGAGAACATACAGCTTGAGGTAAAATCTACGACAATAGAAACAGAACAGTAGGATTTTAGGCAACCTTAAAAATCAGATCAGCACAGATAACTAATTCAAACTCTGTTCACCTCGCCAAATGCAAGTATGAGAGTCACGGATATCAGAACAGAACCCCAAGCTGGAAGCAGTGAATCAACAAAGACTGGTAGAGCCTATTGAATATTAGCATTAGAAACAGAGTCAGTAAAGACTGAAAAAGCTAAAGTGTGCACAACACAATTTAGTTGTATCCAAACATATATGCATAATCCTTATACCTCCATTGCCAAAGCATTGCCTATAAGAAGTGTACACAGGAGAAGATGCTGGTTTTTAACGAGTGGCAGGATCTTTTCTGGCCATTTTGTTACAAATTTTTGAAAATGGTGTTAGTTTGAATATGAAGTAATGAAGTATGAGTAGGTGAATGAGTTTTGGTGACACTGACCAGCGTTTTTGCGCTCGTTGGGTCCACCAGCCTTGATGATGACCTCGAGCTCGACGAGACTAAGGGACATGAGGCCAAGAGTCAGTCCTGACATTAAACCTGCGAAAGCAACTAGAGCAAAACATGCAATTAGGTACACCCAGAACATAGTTTCACAGCAAGGGACATCATTTGCTGCCATTTCTTGAGAGTATTTTAGAAAGTAAAGACTACGAATGTTGAGACTGAGAGAGAAATGAGTTTTTACATCATAGGAACTTAAATAGTAGCCGAGGATGACATAGTAATACCAACTGCTACACGAGGAGAACATAATCCAAGAACCACCATCCAAATCTTTTTATAATATTAAAGAAGTAATCACATTCTGTAATCAGCTATTACATAGTCAATTTGTCATGCTCCAGTGACCTGATTTCAGACAGAGATATCAGAAAGTCATATGAAGAGATCTTGGCCAAGACAGCAAGTACACAGTTTGCTAAGAGTTTAAGACGGTTTCACACAAAAAGAGCATGTTATACTCACTTTCAAAATCAATTGTGTAGTGCAACTCTTATAAACTGCAACCACTCGCATTGTCGAACTCAAAGTGTGTGAAACTGTTCACCATGGTCGATGAGACCAAATAACGTCAAATGTGCTTATGTTCCTTTGCAACAAACCATTAACGTCAGGAAAATGTATTTAAGTTTCTGAAACACCAATACAACAGAGTAGGTTCCAAAGGAGCAAGTGGAGAAGTATTAAAACCTTGAAGGTACAAACAAGATAGTGACTGATTCACTAAAGAAACAAAGAAACAATTCAAGCGACGACTACTACATAATAATATATCTGTAAGGGTCAGGTATAACATAAGAAATGACCTCCAAAAAACATAGCCTAATGAAGCTATAAAATACTTCAGAAGAACAAAATTAAGAGAAGCTAATTTTTTTAAATCGGCCTACTCCACCAATAATAAATGGAAGACACACATGCTGCTTTATTCAACTTAGCTAACTATTAATCAAGATAATAATATGGGAAGAACATCACTATCTTCTTTAGGTTTTCTGCTAACAAATCCTCTATATGAACTGAATCACTTCCCACTAACAAATAATCTATTGTGTTGGAAATCAGCAACGTGTCCATCAACCCTTAATTCTCACAACGAAAAAAGAATCCAGATAAACAAAAGACTCAATCAAGAAATTTGACAGAAGACTGAACCTTAAATCATACAAAATTAAAAGTAATAACCAAGTAATAATCATCGGTGATTGTAGAAAAGGTGGACAATACATTGATACTCCTAAATTTTGCATCACAATTTAATTTGTGCCTTAATCGAAGAAAACCAAATTAGATGTGATGCAAAATTTATGAATAACGAAAAAATGGCCCAGAGAAATCTTTCAAAGCTTCTTCCTCCTTTCTGAGCCAGCAACGTCACCGTTTATGTTCTCCAAAATCAAAATGGCTCGTCCGAAGGACGGCACAGTGTGTTTATCTGTAATCCTCAAACGGGAGGTAGTTTTCGACTGTAAAAATATTTCCCAATAGGTAATCGACACGTGGATCAGTTTTTTTTTTTTTTGGGTGAAGAAAGGAAATAGGGGGAAAACAAAAAAAATCCCGCTTCGAATTGCGAATCTGTGAGAAGAGAAGAAAAGGAATGAGGAGAAAAATGTCGAAGAAACTTAGCGCGAACACCATGGATGACGTAGATCGATTGTTCCAGTGCTTCAAGTGTGGAATCTCTCCGCCTGGTGAGCTTCTTTCTCTCTTCTCTGTGATTTTTGATCCAAGCTGAATTGAAAAGCCTGGTTAATGCAATTGTCAAATTGAATCTCATATCTTATACTACGAAATGTTACGAAAAGCTTGAGATCTTTGTTCTAGTATAAACCAACGAATGTGTGCGATTTTTTTTCTCAGCCTCTGCTGTGAGAGAAAGGAAACGGAGCAAAAGAACGTTGAACCCAGAGAATTCCTCTCCTGCGACCTGTAAGAACTTGCAGCAGCCAAGTTCTTTGTCTGGAAAGGGACAAAGAAATCAGATTGATGGAAGTCTCAGTCTAGTAGACTCCATTGTATGTATTATGAACCATAGTGTTTAACTTGTCGTGTTTTAAAATTGTTGTGGAGTGGATTCTGAATTTTGTCTTCTTGATGTCATATCTCTAAGTCTGGTTCAAGGAATGTTAAAAAGAGTGTTGGGAGGCAGTTTTCACCCATTGTATTCTACGGTTCTCCAAATGGCGTTCCTCCAAAAAGACCATTGAGTTTGTTAAGGCTCTTGCGTGAGATACGTATTGATCTCAGTGAAGAAAGGAAAGCAATCTCCAGGTATCTATGAATAAGCTGGAGCTGGCTTTTTATTTCTACTTGTAAGATCTTCTGTTTTGTTCAAACGGTTTAACTGGTCTCCACTTTGCTTAGGAAAGGAGTTTGGGCTACATTTCCTCGGCAAGATGAAGCAATTAAGTTTGAGAAGAGGCATGAGAATGTGCGGGTTTTTAGTTACCAAGATCATTTTAGTGGCCAAAGAAGGTTTCTGGTTTCAACATATGAAGAATTCTGGAAGAGGTTACTTTTCTTTTACCTTAGTTAACATACCTTTAGTGTCAAACTTGAAACTTCTCTCAAGTGCTTTATTCTTCTACCTTAGATACAAATCTATGGATCCAAGGCACCGACACCATTATGAAGTGATTCAAGAGGTATCTAAATCTCATTCCCTGTGATGCTGTCGTTAACTATTTTAGTCTGTTCTGCATAGCTCTCAGAAGAGTAGATCTTCAAATTTTGCAAGAACTACGCATGTCTGAGTTGTGATTGACTGCGTTTGATTGCGACGGCTTCTCAGGGATTGCCATGCCATATGTACTTCGATTTGGAGTTTAGTCAGAAAGAAAATGAAGGGAGAAATGTTGATGAAATGGTTGATATTTTGATATCAGTCATTCTAGAAGCATTGCATGAGAAATATGCTATTGAAGGACAAGACGATTGGATTATAGAGCTTGATTCCTCAACTAAAGGTACAGTAATAGATCATGCTCTCCGAGCTGCTAGTTTGTTACGAGTTGTCCTCTTTGCTTCAGTTTTCTTTTCTGAGCGATCGTTAGAAAGCCAGATATTGTAAAGTCGTTTCTCTTAGATATTTCTGTATAAGAAGGTTGGTTCTCTTGACTGAAGAATTCCTTATAAATCCGTACGCAGAAAAATTCTCTCGCCATGTAATTGTCATAATTCCAAAGGTTGCCTTTAAGGACAACTCACACGTTGGTGCTTTTGTAGGAGAGGTATGCTTCAATCGGTATTTTATTTTTTTAACCTGAATATTTGCTTTCCAAAGTTGCAAGTTGGGCATGGCTCATTTTCATCTTGATATTTCTTCAGCTATGCTCACGGATAGTAAGTGCGAAAGAAAAAGATGAAAGGTTGGGCAAGTTGTTTGTTCATAAAGAGGCTAATGATTCGGCATCCCTACTCTTTGTGGATACTGCTGTCTACTCTCGAAACCGTTGCTTCCGTCTTGCACTATCATCAAAAGCTGGAAAGACGTCGGTTCTTCTACCTACAGGACGATTCAAATGCAAGGATATGGTACGTCCACCTTTAGTCTCTTTCTGCACTGTTTCTCAGCTCCTTTTCCATGTTTCTGTCTCAGCGTCGACTTCTTGTTTTGTTTTAGAACAGTTCATAGTAATTTCGGTGCCTAACAAGACCATTGGTAAACAAACAGGGTGAAGAAGATGTATTCATGACATCCTTAATCTGCAACGTGGCATCAGATTGTGAGAAGCTTCTGGTTTGCAAGATGGAATCAGACTGTATGAAGACACTTTGCTTTGACACAGAGGTAATTTTCATCAGTTTCGCCTCGCACTTGTGCTTTTAGCTTCCAATTGCATCTCTCTTCCACGAATGATTATGCCTTTAAACTGAACTTTTTGGCGATGACAGGTGAACAATAACAGTATTGTAAGAGACCAGAGAGCTCACAGATTCCAACTGGATGCTTGCACAAGTGACATGTCAACATCGTACTTTGGGGGAAAGTCCCCGTTCCCGCTCGTGGACCAATTCATAGAATCCATTGCTTCCACCGGAAATGTCTCAGGTTGCACAATTTATCTCTGTGCAACGTTTTGTGTTCTGGAGAGATGGCAATGCTAATCTTCTTAGTAAAATGTGCTGTGATATTTTAGGTAAGATAAGGTGCTGGTACTGGTTTTCAGAAGATAGCCTGATTGTGTACAGCATGTCAAGAAATAGATACTGCGAACGAATTGGCAGGGAACATAAAAGCAATCATGGTATTATTAATTCCTTTATGATATTATGAATCATAGCATTCTCTGTATTCTCAGCTATCAAAGAACATAGTAACATTAGTTGAAACAAACTTTGTTGGTACAGTGATGTACATTGTTGACATCATAAGGGGGATCTATTATCAGAAATGCTACGATCCTGATTGTCGAGGTGTGTATACTATTTCTTAATCGTTGTCTTAGTGAGAAAAAACATGAAAGCAGAATCTTGTTTCTTTTCCCTTGCTCTAAGAAATTCAGTAAGCTTGTATTTTGTCTGCAGATTATCGATCTCCGATACGTCCAGTTCCAGATAGTTACCTGCCTGAAGATGTAGTCTACCATCAAGGAGAGGCACATAATTTATGTGATAACCTTAATCCAGAAGGAGAATGCTACACTGATAACGAATGCGAACCAGATAGTGTTTCTAGCAGAGGCTCATGGTGGCTTGAAGCGGCTAAAGTCGCAGATGATCTTGAAAGCAAACCCAAGATACTGGAACCTCATATCTTGGTTAGTTTACTTTAGAGTTTTTCATACAAGAAACCAAACAGCTTTAAAGTTAATATGTTCTTGACTTGACTTAACATCTGTCTAATTTCTCGACTTTATTAAAAGAATAAGCTTTTTTGGACACACAGGAGAATTACGAGGAAGATGATGACTGGTGGATAGCTGCAGAAGAATCCCTCAAAGAAATCTCATCTTTAAGTCCTTCCCCAAAATACCCTTTGATTTAGACATTTGTGACCCAACTAAAGTCAAGAATACCAAACTGGGTTCGTCTTCTTCCTTTTTCTCACCTTAAAAACTACCATCGGATCCTCCCAATCCTTGCATCAACAGATCTCTCAGAAAAATCAATGGCTACAATCCCAGTTTTCATACCGGCTGAGTCGTTTCCTTCGATCCTCTCTCATGAAACCTTGATCAATCACTTTCAGACCAATCTTCCAACACATTCCTCAACAATCACAAGCCCGGTCCGCCAAAACTACGCGGTTTCACCACCTTCCTCTCTCCTCCTCATGCCTTCTTGGTCATCTTCCCCTTCTCTCCCTTACATGGGCGTCAAGCTCGTGACCTATTTCCCTCATAACTCCTCCCAGAACTTACCTGGAATCCACGGATCCTACACACTCTTCAGCTCCACCACAGGCCAAACCCTAGCTTCAATGGACGGTACCGTTTTAACCCTTTACCGTACTTCCTCTGTTTCAGGCTTAGGCTCCAAAATCCTAGCTAGAGACGATAGTCAGGTGCTGATCATGGTTGGTTCCGGTGCTCTCGCGCCACACTTAATCAAATCTCATCTAGCTGCGAAACCAAGCTTGAGAAGAGTGATCATATGGAACAGAACTCCCCAAAAGGCTCAGATTTTAGCTGAAACTCTCTCAAAGGATCCTCAACACAGCGAGATCTCGTTCGAGAGCCACGATTTGCTAGATGAGATCATTCCTCTCGGAGATATCATAAGCTGTGCAACAAACTCGACTGTCCCGTTGGTGAAAGGTGAGTTCTTGAAATCTGGAGCTCATCTTGACCTTGTTGGATCGTTTAGCCATGAGATGAAGGAATGCGACGATGCAGCGATACAGAGAGGGAGTGTGTTTGTGGATAACGATACTGCGATGGAAGAAGCTGGAGAGCTCGTGGGAGCGTTTGAGAGAGGAGTGATCAAGAGAGAAGAGATTCGTGGGAATTTGGTTGAGTTGATAAATGGAGAGAAGACAGGGAGGAAGAGTTCAACGGAAATAACGGTTTTTAAGTCTGTTGGTTCGGGAACTGTAGATCTCTTAACTGCGCAACTCGTTCACGAGACTTATCTTAGTCGTTGTTAAGTAGTGAATCCTGGCTCTAACCCATGGGGTCAAACTGTTATGTTCTGCCTAGAGAGAAGGGTCGATGCACTACTACTATCTTATATATAGTATGAGGAATCAAACACTTATGGAAGAACAATGCTTTGAATCTCTTTTAAATTTCTATTTCTCTTTCTCTCGTCTCTTTTCTTCTGATCTCTCATCTCCTTCTCTAGATCCCTTTCAGGATCGTATCACCAAAGTCCAGATCTTTTTATTTGGGCATTTAGAATTGTTACAAATGAAAAATGTATTGCATACTTTCTCGTGTTAAATGGACCAATTATATCCAAATCTCGAATTTAACCATTAAATTTTTGGTTTTGAATAAACTTTTTAAGGTTTTTATGTAAGAAAAAAATAAATAAATAATTACTTTTAGCATATTACGGTAAACTCAATCTTAAATGTTATATTAAACATATCTCTTAGCGTAATCAAATGCCGTCTTAGCTCAGTGGTAGAGCGCGTGACTTTTAATCCCGTGGCCGTGGGTTCGATCCCCACAGACGGCGGTTTAAATTTTTATCTTTTTTTCTATTATTTGTTTTTTTTTGTGTGATTTTTTTAGCCCAAAACCCTAAAGGAAAAATCACACCTTATTTGTCTCCCTCTTCCCTCTTTACGAAGTCAGAGTTTTCTCGCTAAGCTCCTTCGTCGTCGTGATGAACATGGAGGCAGGGATGGGGAACACGGTGATGTGTCTGTTAACAGACCCAGAAGGAACTCATTTAGGTTCTGCTATGTATATTCCTCAGAGTGCTGGTCCTTTGCAGCTTACTCAGCTCGTCAATAAATTCCTCAACAATGTAACAATTCTTCTCTCTGCCTAACTTCATTTAAAGAAGTGATTTTTAGGATTTGCAAAAACTTCCTTTGACGCCTCTGCTTCAAATGTTTATTTACTCTCTGATTGTCGAATTTTCTGTTAATTACTAGAAATGATTGCATCGAATTTGAATTTGGGTATTTGTTGGAATTTTTCAGGAGGAGATGTTACCTTACAGTTTCTATGTATCAGACGAAGAGCTTCTTGTACCTGTGGGAACTTACTTGGAGAAAAACAAAGGTAAAAACACTCATAACTGGTGTGTCATTGCTCTTTGAGGAAATCTAATAAAATGTGACTGCAAAATTTGTGCGTTTCAGTGTCTGTGGAGAACGTTTTGAAGATAGTTTATCAACAACAAGCTGTTTTCCGAATTCGTCCTGTTAACCGTTGCTCACAAACAATCGCTGGTATGTCATGAGAGTACTATGTTCTGTATTTGAAAATTGCTCTAGTTAAGAAGCTATCAATGAGCCAAGTTTGCTTACTTGGTTTGGTTTTAAAATCATAGGTCACGCGGAAGCTGTTCTTTGTGTCTCGTTTAGTCCTGATGGCAAGCAGTTAGCAAGTGGTTCTGGTGATACTACTGTCCGGCTTTGGGATCTCAACACTGAAACTCCATTGTTTACTTGCAAAGGTTCCAAAAACCACGTTCTTTACTTTTGCATAGAGGCCTAAAAATAGCTCATCCTGATGGTCTAGCCTCTAATCTTTCCAGGACACAGGAATTGGGTTCTCTCGATTGCTTGGTCACCGGATGGTAAGCATCTAGTGAGTGGTAGTAAATCCGGTGAAATCTGTTGTTGGAATCCAAAGAAAGGAGAACTAGACGGCAATCCACTTACAGTAAAGTCTTATTCTTTTTACTTGATATTTGGTTTATCTTGTGAAATGTCCATAATGTTTTGGTTTCTTACTGATTACCCGTTGATCTTTACATTTTTATTAGGGTCACAAGAAATGGATTACTGGTATCTCGTGGGAACCAGTCCACCTTAGTTCTCCATGCCGTCGATTTGTAACTTCTAGCAAAGATGGGGATGCAAGGATTTGGGATGTTACACTGAAAAAGTCTTTGATTTGTCTTAGTGGACACACACTTGCTGTGACTTGTGTCAAATGGGGCGGAGACGGAATTATATATACAGGGTATGTCTATTATGTGTATTGAAAGATATTTCAATGTGTTTCATAGTTAATTAGCTTAGATGATTTAGGTGTTGGTGTTTGGTGAATCTCAGTTCTGATAATGAAAGAAACTTAGTTTGCAGTCTCTTTATCTAGATAATTACTCTGTACTACTTGCCTCCATGTTTAAGCTCCATGATCACTTATTTAAGTACATAATTCTATGTTTTTGTTTGGCAGTTCCCAAGATTGTACGATAAAGATGTGGGAGACTACTCAGGGGAAGCTCATTCGTGAATTGAAGGTAAACTTTTACGTATATCTGACTTTTTTCCTCTGGATTAGCATCAGATGCATTCCTCTTCTGGCTACTATCTCTAGAGACAGTGCCAATGTGATTCAAGTCCGATAGTGTTATTAATGGCTTATGTGTTTGTATCATGCTCTGCACCTTTTGACCCGTATCTTGTTCAGATTAACCGAGGCTAGTATCACCTTTAACCACCTCAATTTTACTCTGTTACCTTAGGGGCATGGACATTGGGTTAACTCCCTTGCATTGAGCACAGAATATGTTCTTCGAACAGGAGCTTTTGACCACACTGGAAGACAATATCCTCCAAATGAAGAAATGAAAAAGGTAAAGCTTCTCACTCCACTCAACACTTGAGATCAGTTTTTCCCTTTTACCTTGATTCTGACCTCTCTTGGGAAAATTTTCTTGGCTTCTTTTGTTATAGGCGCTTGAAAGATACAACCAAACAAAAGGGGATTCCCCTGAAAGATTAGTCTCAGGTTCTGATGATTTCACAATGTTCCTTTGGGAACCATCTGTTAGCAAGCAACCTAAAAAGCGTTTGACCGGTCATCAACAGGTAAGTTACTTAAACAATCTCACTTCTTTCCACCTAGTCATTTAGTTCCGTTTCTAATTCTTTACCTTTGATATTTGGTCACAATCAACAGCTTGTAAATCATGTCTATTTCTCACCTGATGGGAAATGGATTGCAAGTGCTTCGTTTGATAGATCAGTTAGGTTATGGAACGGTGTCACAGGACAGTTCGTTACAGCTTTCCGGGGCCATGTTGGTCCTGTTTATCAGGTCAGTTGGTCTGCAGACAGTAGATTGCTTTTAAGTGGGAGTAAAGACTCTACTCTCAAGGTAAAAACACTTGCTCAATGAAATGCCATTGCTACTCTTTACTGGATATATATAATTTTCAGATTCTGAATCAGAAAGTTTGTTACTTGCAAACAGATTTGGGAAATAAGGACGAAATCGTTAAAACAAGATCTCCCTGGTCATGCTGATGAGGTACTTACCAACCAACAACACCTTTAAAAGCTTTACCATTTTCCTTACCAGAAATTTTAGTCTCTTGATTCTGCGACATTCCTTTTCTACTTTTTTTCTTTTGTATTGAAAATAGGTTTTTGCTGTGGATTGGAGTCCAGATGGTGAGAAAGTAGTCTCTGGTGGTAAAGACAGAGTATTGAAGCTATGGAAGGGTTAAAAGTAATGATCATTTTTGGAACGCTTTTGTTTAATCAACCAAATCATATATTTATTAATATTTCACATATTTAACTCTTTCAACTTGTTTCTATTTATGCACTGGCAGACCGGTTTTGTATTCTATCTCTATCCTTCTTCTTTATAGGGTTCTTTGGCTTTTTATCCGCAATTAAAAAAAAATAACTTTTTTCCATCAACTTGTTAAATTATGAAAGTAACGTTGAAAATGATTTACTTAAGATTTTGGTGCAATCTGCAGACCATAATTGCAAAGACAGCATTTCCTAAATTATAAGAGAAATTATAAATTGTTATGAGGATGAAAGTGTTTCTCAGTGATTTTGAACCACAACATAAAAGACTTTAGTTATGAGTGATTCCATAACGCATACGACGAGACTTAAGACTACAGAGACTGAATCAATGATAGATTCTA